AACTTACTGAGGGCGCACTCAATCCCCTCCTCCAGATCGTTCATAAAGATATTAAATAATACTGGCCCCAAAACAGAGCCCTGGGGAACACCGCTCGTGACTGGCTGCCAACTGGATTTAACTCCTTTCACCACTACTCTCTGGGCTTGGCTATCCAACCAGTTTTTTACCCAGCAAAGACTACGCCCGTCCAAGCCATGAGTTGCCAGCTTTCTAAGGAGAATGCTATGGGAGATGGTGTCAAAGGCTTTGCTGAAGTCCAGGTAGATGACATCCACAGCCTTTCCTTCATCCACCAGGTGGGTCACCAAGTCATAGAAGGAGATCAGGTTGGTCAAGCAGGACCTGCCTTTCAGGAACTTCAGGCCAGACAGTCATAGTGAGAGCTCCTGCCATCACACCAGATCAATCTGCACCATGTCCCAGTGTCAGCCACCGACATGCACCCACAAGCTGCTGTATAGCCTGAGCTCACAGCCTTCTCTGTAGGAGCAAGTGTAGTGCCCAGTGAACTGACCAAGAGATTAGCTAGCAGGCTTCATAGAGTAAATCACTAAGAATATTTGATGGAGCACTTAGTAATTTTTCTAGTTTCCTGTGTGAGTTTTTTTGGTGTGACGTGAATTTTCTGCCAAGAGTAGTCTGGTGATTCTGAACAAATACTGAAAAGGCATCAAGGGGACCACAAGTTTCTGAGCATCTCACCACCACTGCTCATCCTACCTCAGAGCTTGTATATCAAAAGGCAGGAGTCAACTCTCTGTGTGAGGAGGCCAGTCTCCTTTTATGATCAGAAAGGAGATTGGCTTGTGCAGGGAGCAGGTCAGAGCATCTAGCTCTCATCAGCAATTACTGTAGGAACCTTGAAAGACCAGGCTTGTAAACAGAAGTGCGTAAATTTAGGAAATCTAGAGGTGTGCAGGCAATAGCGGAGGAGTGAGAATGAGAAAAGGAAGCAGCAGCAAAGTGCACTTGCGAAGCAGGAGTTCAGAAGGTAAGATTATATTCAGTGGAAAGTAAGGACCTCATGTACACAGCTAACAATTTGTGTTTATCTGTGTGTGCGCAGGTGGCACAATAGACATTACAGTACATGAGATCCAAGAAAACTATTGCCTGAAGGAGTTACACAAGGCAGCTGGAGGTGGATGGGGAGGCAACACAGTGGATGAAAACTTCACTGATTTCCTCAAGGAAATATTCAGTGATGGTGTATGGGATGAATATGTGAAGAGCCACCCTACTGAATTACAACATATGATGTACTGCTTCAGTCTACAGAAATGCTCTGCTAGTAGAGAGGAGGTCTACATACGTTGCTACTATAACTTGACCAGAGTGGCAGAGTGCAAGAAGAACATCTCCCACTTCTTCAAAAAAGTAAAAGGAGCTTTGTGGTGTGACGGGATGATCATGATTACATATGAGAAAATGAAAAGCTTTTTTGACTACAGTATCAGAAATATTGTTTGTACTTTGAGGGAAATTCTTGGCAAGCCTGAGATAGCCAAGGTCCAGTACATTTTGCTTGTGGGGGGCTTTGCATCTAGCATCATCTTGAGAGATGCGATCAGTCAGGCCTTTAGCAAGAAGTATCATATCCTTTGTCCAGTGGAGGCCCAAGTGGCCATTGCAAAAGGGGCTGTTTTATTTGGCATCAAGCCACACATTGTTACCTCAAGAGTCAGCGCTCGGACATATGGTTTAGCAGTAAGTCAAAAATTTGATGCTGCTATCCATGACTTCAGTAAACGAAGGGTCTCAAAAGCTGATGGCTATATTTATTGCACAAATCTCTTCAAGAAATTAGTGGGAATTGAGGAGTCAGTGAATATAAATGAAGTTGCCCACTATAATTTCCATCCATCAGAACCAGATCAAACATGTGCATGCTTTTCTTTCTACTGTACAGAAAAGCAGGATGCTCAGTACATAGATGAGGAAGGGATGGAACAGCTTGGTTCCTGTACAGTGCCAATGCCAGACACAAAGCTGGGGAGGAACCGTCAACTGAAGCTGGATATTAAATTTGGGCTCACTGAATTTAAAGCCACATGCACTGACGTTACTTCCAAACAAAGTCAGGTGGTTATAATAGATTTTTTAGCTGCGTAAATGCTCAGTACATTGAACAGCAGGGACAATAACTCAAGGCAGAGCATGGCTTTAGTGGGAGGCAATAACTACTACAATAGAGAAGGCAAATGGACCATAAAGTCCATCATCCAGCCTTCTGCTCTCTCAGGTAAACATTTTGCTAGTCTGATTCTCTGGTTCCTTCCATTCCTTGCCAACAACCCTTTCAGTCCAACACCTCTCTTTCTGTTGTATCTGACAGCAGGTTTATCTGCTGCTTTATCTCTTGCCATTCTAGCTTAGCCCCATTGCATCTCTGAACACAATAGTCCATACCACCAATATAATAATCTGTACTCTACCTGTGTTTGATACAAAGCTTTAAGATTGGTCTCTAACTTCCACATATACCAGCCTATAACTGTTTCTTTTAGCCTGATGCCTTCTTTCAGCTGCATCCTCTCTTCCTCTGATATCAGGTCTCTTTATCTAGAATCCAGGTTTAACTCTGCCAGGGGTGGCATTCAATGGATTTCAGTTTTCTTCAGAACATCATTGATGTAGATTGTGTGTAATTAAAGAGCTCTTGTCCCAGTCAAGATACTCCGTGAAGCAGTAACTCCATGTAGTCTGCAGGCTTGTATCCAAAACTTGAGGCAGTGTTGTTTCCATTAAACCATTGGGTAGTCTGATCTCTTTAACTGGGAAGATATGGGAAGATATGAATGCCAGATTGTAACATTGCAGATATTAATAGTGCTTATGTTGCTGCCTGAGCCCCTCTCTCCAGCTGTGGCTACTCTCTACATCTCTGATTTGGGCTTGATATTTTCCATGTCCATAAAAGTTCATTTCTTTGCTTCCTGCCTACAGCACCTGTGCACAGGTTCAGCACAGTGTGGCCTGTGTGAACCCAAATTTGTCCAAGAAAAGGATGTGATCCTGCAGTGTACCGGGTCTGGCTGGGGTGGAGTTAATTTTTTTCATAGCTGCTCTTACGCTGCTGTGTGATTCATGACCAAAACAGTGTTGGTAGCACACCAGTGTTTTAGCAACAGCTGAACAGTGCTTGCAGAGCAGCAAGGCCATCTCTGTTTCTCACTCTGCCCCTGCAGCGAGGAGGCTGGCGGGGGGAGCAAGGGGCTGGGAGAGATCACAGCCAGCACAGCTGACCCCAATTGGTCAAGGTTTTTTTTCCATATGCTGTAACCTCATGGTGAGCAATAAAACTGGGGGGAGTTTCTCCAAAGTAGCTATTGCTTGGAGACTGGCTGGGCATCGGTCTGGTGGTGGGGTGTGGTGACTACCTTTGCACCACTTGTTAGGGGTTTTTTTGGGGGTTTTTTTGGGTTTTTTTTTTCCCTTTCACTAA